GACTCGCAGGATGGCAAGGATAACAGGCCAGCAGTCGCAGGACAGAGGCCCACGCAGCTTCGCCTACTTCGCCAGATCGTGAGATGTCTGAGATGCCGACACACTCGAGCCGTTTGCTTTGGTCTTAGAACTGAGTACTGTGAACTGGGAAACTTGGGGACTAGAACGGGAAGTCGAACTAGGACCTCGGTCCTGGGGGGCCATTGTCGGCCACTTGGCCAGACATTTGTGGTATGCGCAAATAGAACATGGCATAAAACGGAGCCCGGTTCGAAAGCCATTAAATATTTATGGCCACGCGGAGGAAACATAGCTGTTGATTATTTCATTGTCAGCAAATAAATGTAACAAGCCGAATACCAAGGCATAGCAATTTGCAATTTTTCAACTGAATTCGTTTGAAATATATACTTTAAAGTGTGTTCGATTACTTCTTATATTTATTTATACTATTTTATATTTAGAAGAAAGGGTGTTTCTAAATAAATCCATAAACCTTTTTTCCCACAGACCAACAACCAATCTTACCTTTCTTTCGTTTCAGCTAATTGCTGTCGACGCTTAAATCGTTCCCGCCATCGATTAATTTGTGAAAGTTTAGCCGCCGTCGAGACTGAGTGAGTCCCCAAAATCTGAAGACACTACATAAAAAAGTTAAGAAAGTTTTGCATGTGACCTCGTTTGAAAAACGCCTGAATTGCCCGGCCAGAGGGGCTAGCTAAAGGGGCAACTTTGTTAATGGTTTTGTCATAAATTTTAATTCGATTGCATCAGAGCAGAGGCTGAGGCTGCCATTCAAACTGGGCATGAAAAATGCATTAGACTGTGCAGCCAGGAACCGAGGAGCCGCCTGCAAAAGTTTTTGATGGTGCGGTTGCCCACGAAGACAGGATTCCCCACAACACACACACACACACACACACTATCACCACAAAGGGAGAGAGAGAGAGGGAGAGAAGCCAAACCGCAGACACAGTTCGTTGTTTGAAGACTCAATTAATTTATGCAGTGTGAAGTAAAGTTTTCGGCTCGAAGAAGCCTTAAAAATTGCATTGAAAGGCCGGGAGAATGGTGGCCAAATGCCCTCAATTACAGCATACGAATGGATGGCGTAATAAGGCGCCATCATGCTGGTAGATCGACTTCGTTCAGCAGGAAATGCGTTCAATTAATGAATTTTAAATGCGTTCTCATTGTCACTTCCGCACGCAGCAGGCTTCACCTGCATGTCCGTGGCGAACGGTGCGTATGCGTGACGCGTTATTTGCAAGTCAACCACCGAGCCAAGTCAGTGGGGGCGGCAAGCCAAGGCTGATGAAGGATAAAGGACATTGCGGTGCCATTATCTCTGCCATGAGTCATACTGCCATCCCGGATATCAACCTGCAGGCGAAATCGAACAGTGGAAACGTAAAGAACCCGTAACTTAAAGTAGATTTAGCTTTTATAAAGTTTGTAGTCACAGTTTTAGAGTTCCAATAGTCAAGATGAAGAGTCTACTTATGATTAACTCCTATATATTCAAGTTCAATGTGAATTTTAAAGCCGAAAGCCAAATAACTTAACATAATTAAGTTAATTTCTCAGTCTAATGCTTTGTAATGTAGTTTGCAGAGAGCTCTTTGTCATGTGGGTCTCAAGAGCTAATTTTACCTGGAACTGTTCTATAAATACCTTTTACCTTTGCCCCACTGTACTTACAAGTGGGAGGCAGTGCGTGCACAGCCTGTAAAAGCCTGACGCCCACATTAACTACAAGGATAATGTCGCCCGTCGTCCGCCCGCCGGCTGCGGCATGAAAAAATAACAAGAAAATGCCTGGCATCGTTCATTACGATGCCGGGCTCAGGCTCAGCCCTTTTGGCCAGGTGCGTGGATGTGAAAGTGGCAGAGCCAGGCAAGACCTGCAGAAGGATAACACGAAGAGGGGGACACAAGACGAGCGACAAGACAAGGAGGCATCCGAAATGTTTTATTGTTGTAACTGTCGCCCGGCGGCATAATATATAGTCTGGGACATATCCTGAAGCGCGACTCCGCCGCTGACACAAATCACATGCAACCTTTGTGGACCTGTGGACCCCTTCTTGCCGCCTTCTTTGGGGAAAATGAAGTGGAACTTGGGACATTTTTGGTGCTCCCCATCTCTTGTACGTGCCCGTATTCTGGACTTGAGTTCGGGAGACCAAATTACGTAAGCTTAAAGGGGGTTTTCGGTGCTCTATCTAACCGGTAAACCATCGCCTTTGTCTGCGTTTGCCATCTTCCGTTTTAACAAATGTTTTGTTAGCGCGCCGCTCTCAAGTTTTCCGCTTGCAAAAATTATGCGGAAACGGAAGCGACAAAAGGAAAACCACAATTCGAGGACGTCCTGTGTATCCTGGTCTTGAGCGTATGTGTGTGTTCATCTTTGAATGTGAGTTTGAGTGGCACGTGTCCTGCAAATACAGACACACACACACATACTATATATCCACCTGGACCCACTTTGTCATCAGCTTGAATTAGGACTATTCAATTTTCATTATTAAATAATGCCCAGGCATTGATGCGTACGTGTGCCTCGACAAAATTAAATGCACATCGGAATTTATGGGGGCCCGAGCGAAATGACAAATAGTGCGTGGCTGATCCCCACAAGACACAAGGTAAAACTGTAATTAAATTTGTCCAAAATTCAGGATGCACATCCTGTGCTAAGAGAAGGACCCATAAATCTGGGCGCATAAAATCCAGGCCCCACCCAAGCTCACAGCGATAAATCAAAACCAAATTCACATAATTTTTATCGTTTTGCACAATTTTGCATGTGCACACACATACTATATGTTCGATATGGAGTGGGTGTGGTTGGAGTTTGTAGAATGGGGCGTGCTCTGCCTTCGCTTGAATCGGTTTTCAAGTTAAACGTTTCAATAAAGTCGAGCACCTGTCAATAAATCGAAATTGCCTCTCGTATTATTTTTATCGGCTACGTTTCGTTTACATTGCACAAGATGCTTCACTTTCAGTACAGCCAGCGGCCACGCCTCATCGGTATATATATATTTCTATATATCTAAACCACATGTCTGTATGTAGGTCGAAAAAGCGGAAAAGCGACCTTAGCTATCTCTCAGCCGCCTCGTCATCGCCATCATCTTCTTCCAGTTGAGCGGATACGGCGGTTGAGGTCCTCCTTCTGCTGTGGTTTTCAGTCCCTGACTTAGATTTTCCAACTTCTCTTATTTCTTGGATGGCCGAGTTCTCAGTTTAATTCAGTTTTCGGCAATCGAATTGTGGACAGTTTTCATGGCTTTAATTATGGGTTCGCCTTTGAAGTCGCTCTCTTCGGTGATGCTTTAATTTTAATCCACTTGTACTGAAAACCGGCCGGCGAAGTACAATTTTTACGAGCGCCTGTGCCTTATGAAAATTTAATAAGCCGGCAACGAGGAGAGTGCGCATAATGAGAGTGGCAGCTTGGGCCCCGAACCAAAAAAAAAAAAAAAAAAAAAAAAAAAATCGGGACATGCCAGGACAGCCACCGCATCTCATCCGAATCTGACTCCACGGATGAATCAACCACCACCCGCCCACATATGTCATGTAAAAAGATTGTTTAACAAGCAGAGCCAAGGAGGAGAAAGCTTAAAAATGAAATGCGTTTCTCGTTTTCACATGGCTGACATCGGATAGGTGACAGTGGGTCACAAAGTTGGCATTTTAATAAATTTTTAGATCGGTGGTATTAGGGATAAATGAAATCCAATCTTCATAGCTCTTTGAAGATCATTGTTAACCGCTTCTGAAATTGTTAGCCTTTTTAAAAAACCTTAACTTTTTCTTATTACATTCTCAAAACATAGTAATTTTACTTAAGATCCTAGCCTTACTCCCTATTCCTTCTTGCAAGTAATAATTTGACTTAATTTCTTGACTAAAAATTGAAGGAAAATCCTAAAAAACGTAATCACCCATCTCAGCCCACTGTCTTTGTTTCGGCCTTGTGCAAGACGTTGCTCTCGTCGTGCCTCGCCAACAAACAAGCGAAATATTATTTACGAGCTGTCAAATCCCAGTTAACATGCCTTACACAAGGACCAAGGACGACTTGGCCGTGTTGCTGTAGCTGTTTGCTCGATGCGGCCGCATAGTTCGCTAAGAGACAGCTGAAGATGCGCTGCCACAGTTACAGATACACACAGCTATATAGATACAGATTAACAGATACGGTACCTACACATACAGATACAGATACATCTACATCTACAGATACAGATACGCAGTGCGAGATACTCTTATGGCATTGAGAAAAGTGTGCCAGGACGTCTGGTACGTAGTCAAATGTCGGATCCTACGGATCCTTGGAGCGGACTTGAACGGAGCGGCATAATAAAATAAAAAAGCATAAATGAAAGCGAGGCCAGGCCACGAAAATAATTTAAATTTATGTACTTGTGCGTATTTATTTGTGCGTTTGGCTTTTATTTCCTCCGCGACGTCTCCTGATTTGGTTTGTCTCGCTCCCACACTCGTCTCTTGCTCTCTTCCTCTTTTTCTTTCGTTTTATCAAGAGCAACAGCAGAAAGCATTAAATTCAATTTGCTTATGTGAGTATCTGTGTGTCTGCCACTCAGCGTCAGTTACAGCGAACGAAGGAGGGGGAAGTAGGACGAGATGGAGGGGCCGAAGGACCAAGGGCCAAGGGGAGGGACAAGGCCATGCCAATGGCGGCGACCTGTTGTGTTGTTTAAGGAATTACTTAACATGGTAAAAGCATGTGCATGTGTGTGTGTGTGTGCGAGTGCTGCTTATGCATGTATGTGCTTAATAAATATTTCGGCGCGTCCTTTTTTGATTATATCCTGGAACAGCTACAAATGGGTAGCACACATAAGGCAGGCATTTAAGGTTAAAGAGGCACAAAATCAAGATTTTTTATATAAAAAATTAAGGAGACTAAAGTTAAATCAGTAACAAAAACTAAGATCGTTAATCTATATAAACCGGTTAGAAAATAATTTAAAACCATATACGAACTTTATTCAAATTTATCCAAGAACTGAAAAATATTTAAAAACCTTTTTACTAGGCTCAGTTAGGCACTACTTTTTCTTGTCCTTTTCGTCCTTGCCCTTTGCCTCCCTTTCTTTCTTATCATCTTTAGCCTTCTCCTCCTTACCACCGCCCTTAGCTTTCTTATCATCTTTAGCCTTAGCTTCTTTATCATCTTTCTTTTTGTCGCCTTTTTTCTCAGGTTTTGGTTGGTTTTCGGGTCTTCAGAACCAAAATATTAATCTTAAATTTAAATAAATTATATAAAAACTTACAAATCCAGAATCGAAATCGGATCAATATCTATATCGGGAAACTGGAATTTGGGAAACTGGAGCAAATCAACGCCCTCGCCGCCACCATATTGAAGAGCCAAACGCTCAGTGGCTTCTTTTAGTTCCAAATCGAATTCCGGACCAGGATCTACGGGTTTTCCCTTGGGACTCTTCAGCCGATACTCACGCACCTTGTCCAGAAAAGTTTGGTAAATAGGATCCTTGTAGCGCAAGGAGGCGGAGGTGGTTACGCCTCTGCGTAAAACTAGGCTTGGTTTAAGGATACGAGCAAACATTTTTGTGTGGGATTTGATCGCTGATGATTCGATACTGATTCGGTACTATGAAATGAGGTTCTAAGCTAACTTTTCCGAGGGAAATTTATATCTTAAAATATATTATGGCTAAACATTGATTAAGTAGTACTTTAGTACATAAACCTAAAGCGTTTTTCAAATTTTAATTTGAGTATCTGTTCCGTTTATCAAGCCCCCAATTTCGGCTATCACATCTCAAGTGCTTCTTTCGCTCCAGGACGAATTTTTCACGCGCCGTTGCTGCCCATTCTCTTTTATTCCCGAGCGTGTAAGATTTTCTTTCTGTCTGTCTCGCCTTATCTGCGAATGTCTGTGTGTGAGTGGGCTTGACAATGCGTGCGCCATCTCGACAAGTTTTTCTCAAAAAGTGAGACAAGTGGAAATCCGTTAAAGAAATACGTGAAACACATAAAGGCGATGATGTTGCTGCCGTCGAGTTGCTGTTGCTGCTGCTGCTGCTGGTGATGTGCACGGCAGGAACATACATAAATATATGCGCGTGTGTGGACAAAGAAATGTCGTCGGCAGCAAATAAAAATTAATTGAAAAATGTTTATCAAGGACTTTGCAGGGGAAAAATTTAAATGCACAAAAAACGAGACGAGAGACAGAGAGGGAGAGAGAGAGAGCCGGCGGAAAAACTCTGATAATTGATGGCAAGACATGGCTGCGAAAATTATAATTAATATAAATTTCCATCCTCCACCCCGCTGACAATGCAAATAAATGGATCATTGTCGAGTGCGAAATGAGGAATGTGTAGCTTCTAAGCCAGGCTTAATCGGCCATCGCCACATGCGGCTCATTTCAAATGCAGCCAGCACTCACGCAGCGTTTCGCATCCGCCATTCGAATTAAAATATATATATATATATAGTAGATATATATATTTTGTGGAAAACATCCACGCTGAACTAAAAATTATGCAATGCATTAAAAATTTAACAAGCGCTTATCCGCTTAGTGCAACGCCCGCAACACGAGGGGTTTTTTTGGCCCACGACTGCGCCAACGTCACTTTCAATATTTAAATTTTGACATTTTGTGCATTTGACGCGGCTATGAACAAGCTGAGGGCACGAGGGCAGAGTGTCGCGGGGCATGGACAATATTGCATCAATGCAAATTGGGCAGAAATAATATGCAAACATTGGCACAAACAGAATGCCAACCTAATTGGCAGCAATAACAAAGTTGCCCTGCATTAGCGACTGCCATGGAGGGGAGGCTCTTCTCTAATACGTGTTTGGAATTGGCCAAGTTCCCAATGCCAATTCAGGTTTTCATTTTGCTGATACAAGCAATGAGGCTGGGTTTGTGTAATATTACTTATTTAGTTTTTAGTTTTTTAAAATATTTTTTCCTCCTTGAAAATACCTTAAAAACTAAGCTAAAGTTTAATAAAATCTCATCTTTCCTTAACCACTTTCAAATCTCTTAACATTTATATTTAACTTTAGTACTTCTATTAGCATCAACGTTTTCTCTGTGTACTATAAAGTTTCTATTTAACCGTTTTCATTGTTGAAAACAAGAAAATGTGGAACTGTTATTGCCTGCTGCTAGAATATATCAGAGGTTCTTTTTGTCTGTGGCAGGATTCGCATGTATCTCAATCTTCATTCCGACTATAGCTAAGGATTAAGCAGTTGTGCGAGTGCCACGCCCCCGCCATTAAAGTAGTTTCCCCTAACTTGGTTAGAATTAATATTTAGCTCAGCGCAACTTTATTTGCAGATGGCAAATGCTTTAACCTACCTCCCCTTCCCACCACTGAAAACAAAGTGAGCAAAGTATCCTGCGGTTGCCTGCCGCTTCTTGAATGGGTAACTGTATTTGTGTGTGTGGGTGTATCTATATGTGTGTGAGTGTGCGTGTTTTAAAATGCAACAGATGCGCCAAATTAATGCGACCATTAAATTGTATTAGCGTGTGCAAAATGTAAAGCGCATTTGCCAGCAGATTGCTCCAGCCAAGTGCGAGTGTATCTGAATCTGGTAGTCTGGGAATCCGGGATGACAGTGGGAGAGGGGTTTGGGTGTGGGGTAGTGGATTGCAAATGCAACCCACTATCACCGCAGTTTCTGTGCGTTGTATTCGCTGCAAATTTGTGTGTGAATAAACATGAGAGTCGTTGCATTAATGCGCATACAAAAGCCAACGGCGCCGAGTCCTTGCCGGCGTAACAGCCAGCTAACCCAGCGTAGGAACAAGGATTTAAATATCCCAGAGGGCGGGGCTGCGATGGAGGGGATAGAGAGCTGCTCAATGCTAAAATATCACACAGCAGCAGCGGCGTCAAGTTTATGTGGCATGCCACAAAGTACACACAAATACATTTACACACAGACACACACAGCCAACCAGCGAGATACAAAACTGCATTTGCCGCTTTTTGCCCGTGTTTGCGCTTTTCGCTGCACTCTCTCTCATAAGTGCAGCTTCAACGCCAACAATGCGGCAGCAAATAAAAATGATAAATATGTTTTTTAACTAGAGGATAAACAAGGAGGAAAAAATTAAAAATTTAATATCGTTTACACAGGAACTGTAAAAGTATCTGTAAAACAGGGCTATATGAGAAAGCCATACTTTATAGAGGAGAGACATATGCGTGTGGTTATAAAATGTTAAAAAAAAATGTTAAAAAATTATCTGAGGAAAAGATATTTTTACAAAAATATAGAATTACTTTTGGCTTCGAAATTTTACTACTATAATCCCGAACTTCAATGTTCTATGACTCCATTTTTATCTGATTAGTCTTAAGACTTCTCTGATAACCTCCTACAATTTTCTTCAGTGCAACTCAAAGGAAGCCAAACTATCAGAGAAATGGAAGTCCTGTGCCAGTTGCAGATATTTATTCATTAGCCATTTGGCATAATTTGTTGAATGGCTTTGGGCGCTCTCCGATTCGTGTTGCAATATTTGCAGTAACAATGGAGCAGTTCCTATTGGAAGAGGATGGTGTTTGGGTGGTGGTTGCCACTAATAGGCTTCTAATTGGGCAGTCGCCGCCTTTTTGTTTGCGCTTTTATTCTTTTTTTTTTCCTTTTTTGCTATTCTGTTTTGTGTGCTATTATTTTCCGTTTCGGCATTCCAATTAAAATGCATCTGGTGGTGATGTATCTGCACCCCGCCGGTGGCAGTAGCAAGTAATTTTAGCCACATATTGCCAAAGTGCCGCAAATAGAAGCAACCGTGCTGGAGTTGCCCTTAAGCTGCACGCAGAGCTCATTAGAGCGAACCAAGTCTGTGCTTAGTAGGGGTGCAGTTGGGTGGTCTTTGCTGCGGATGGAGTATATGGTATACGGAATACGAGATATGGGGTATTAGATCCATTAACAGTCTGTACCTGTTTGATTATACATTTCGGCCTGCCCGGAGGAAGCTGCAGCTGCAGCTGGCGTTGATTTGGATTTCCGTCTGCCTGATGCGATTAAACAAAACCCACTAATGGGGCTTACTTTAACGATTTCGGTGGCAAAAGAAACAAGCTGGTATTTAATTCATACACAAGGGGAAAATCGAGTTATTGGTAAATAGGAATGCATGGGAAATTCCCTGATTAAATTTTCCTGGAGCCTTAAAGTGTAGATATATTTAATAGAAAATAAGATATTTATCAATCAAGATAATAGAAGATATAATAGAAGATAGTACTGATATTTTGGGCGGAAAATCGGGACAGACCGATTCGTAAAATTTTTCGAAAAATCTCAAAAAATGTACTTTTTGAGTGTGGTACACTGTGCGACGGGGAATTTAAATACGAACTCAACGAGGTATGACATCCCATGCTATGACCATTTTTGGTTTTGTAATGAAGAAAATACTGATAGTTTGAGCGGAACATCAAAATTATGGCTTTTTAGTAAAATTCGCGATATTTTCCCCCAGTGTTATGCTTATAACTTTGTCAAATTAAGAGGCACAACCAAAAGGAAGACTGTTTTATGAAGCTTACGACGAAAACAAACTTTCTGTATCACTAAGATGATGATTATCGAAAGTTAATTTTTTCCCAAATTTTGCATTTTTAATAAGGGGTACCATCATCATTTTTCGAAAAATCGAAAAAATACTTTTTTTCTTCAGATTTAAACGACAGTTGAATATTTTGAAAATAGATAAAAATCCAAGCTCAACGAAGTATGACACTACGTATTTCGATCATTTTTGGCTTTGTAATGAAGAAAATACTGATATTTTGAGACACAAATCGGGACAGACCGATTTTCGCGTTTTTTGAAAATGGTAAAATTTTACGAAAAATCTCAAACAATGTACTTTTTAAGTGTGGTACACAGTTGGACGGGAAATTTATATACGAACTCAACGAGGTATTACATCTATCTATATGACCATTTTTGGTTTTGTAATGAGGATAATACTGATAGTTTGAGCGGAACATCAAAATGATGGTTTTTATTTTAAATTTGCGATATTTTTCCCCAGTGTTATGCTTATAACTTTGTCAAAAGAAGACACAGAACCAAAAGGAAGACTGTTTTATGAAGCTAACGACCTAAACAAACGTTCTGTTTCATTTAGGTGATGATTATCTAAAGTTTATTTTTTCTCAAATTTTGCATTTTTTGTAAGGGGTACGAAAAATTGAAAAAATATTTTTTCTTCAGATTTAAACGACAGTTGAATATTTTGAATATAGATTGAAATACAAGCTCAACGAGATATAGCATTCCACGATATGATCATTTTTGGCTTTGTAATAAAGAAAATACGGTTTTTTGAAGAGGAAAATGGGAAAAACCCAGATTTAAGATTTCTAATCAGGATACATTTTTAAAAAAGAAATTTGTTGAATATTTTCAGATTTGAATGTCAGTTACTTAGTTAACCATATTCAAACATCTAAACTCAAACTTTTTTTCCAAGAATACATTTTTGCCATGGATGGTTTCCGTTTGGGATTGGGCCGTGTTTATGCCCCACGCCTGTTGCGGTCATAATTGTATTAATGAACACATGCCCCGTCCGACCCC